AGAAAAGTCAGATTTTATATAATTAAATTTAGATATATTTTAATAAGCATTTCATAAGCTTAAAAATTAATATATATATTTAATAAATTTCTTAAGATTTCTTATAAGTTTTGATCAAAGAAAAATATTTATGTATATATATGTCGGTAATCACACCCAATTGTCATACTTGTCCAGACTCTTTTCTTCTATTTAATTTGGTGCTTCTCCTCTCTTTTTATATGCCGATCGAACCTCTTGTCCCTCGCAACGCCTCTCGACCAGAGCCAAGTTCAGTTCCATTTGCACCCTGTCGAAGCGACTCTCTCGTTGTCAAACATATGCAGTTGATATCGGTTCGTTTTCTTTCGTAAATCTGATTTAGTTCATTCTTACTTAATAACGTTTTGCTCTTTAACAGAAGGAGGTATGATAGGTCTCATAAAGTAGGCATATTCAGCTTCATTTTGGCTTGCAACATTAATTTATGCTTTAAAAAAATTATTTTCTTGAATCAAATCAATTCGACAGAATATATATATATATTTTTTAAAATTCAAGCTATTTAAATCTCTGCACAAATAATTTTATTTTTGATAAGTTATATATTTTATATCTAACTATATATATGAATTAACTTTTTATTCTTAGTAGGAAATTCTTTCCCGCTTTCCAGTATTATTTAATTATTAGCAAACTTTAATGATTGGCATAAATACCGTCTAACACTTTTATGCATATCATGTTTTTTGGCCGCTACATGAGTACGTAATTAATTTATTATGAGGCTTGCGTGAGGCAGTCGCGTTGCATGCCACATCCACTCGAGAGTTGCATGCAAATTATTGCAAGTTGAGCATGTCCCGAAAAATTGTATGCTCCAGCTGCAACTACAACTCATAATCGACAAAAGTCGCGTGTTGGCGCTTGCAACTTGGAAGCGCCACAAGTTTAGCAGCAACTCGAAACTTTTCTCGCTTGCCTCCCCAATGTCAAGTCGGTGGCATGACGCGTTGCATGCCGGGCATAGTTGCCGCCTGTTCTTTGACCTTCATGTTAGTTGCCCATAGAAACGGTTGCCGTATTATTACGTTAGTGGCAACATGTGTTGCATGCCCGCCCATTGATGCACTCATCTGCCAGGCGTGGAAATTCCTTTCAAAGCTTTCGTCTCCTTTGATTTCACTTCACTCAATGCTGCCAGCTTCTTACTCCATTTGATTTTGAATACAAACGAAATGCCAGCGGCTCCGCTGACCACGTCGGAATCCTTTGGACCACCGCACACCTTTCACCAAAATGCCAAAGAGCGCATTGGCTTAATTTGTATGAATGCCAAAATGCAAAAAGAAAAAAAAGAGAGAACACGAATATACATATATATTTAAATAAAACTGAAAGCGCAAATGGAATAACTAATTAAATTTTCCGACTGCAAATGAACAAAGTTGCCTGCCCCACCGCAGAGCTACGAGCGCAGGAGTCAGACGTTTCTGGCAGTTAACTGTTAACTGCCAGCTACCAACTACCAGTTTAATTAACTTGGCTTATAAAATTTTATGCTAACTCGCAGTGCGCATAGCCAAGCATTATCTATGCGATATAATAGTTGCCCATAAAGGTTGTCTATGCAAATATGTTGCAATATCTCTGTTGCCAGTCAATTGCCGTTGGCTTTAATGGAAACCTTGCCCCGTTTTGCAAGGGTTGGTGGCTTGGCGGACTTCCCTCCCGTACATAAATCAAGAGTGAAATTTTTACACGCAGCCAACTGTCTGTGAAAATTTCATTTTCATGTACCGCGACATGTACACATCCAAACTTCGCAGCTTCCCGGCTTACCGACTCCTGCCCCAAAAAGGCCAAATTGAAGGGTCGCAGCAACACGTTTTTAATTGTTTTTTGAGGTTTTTCGGACAATATTCAAAGGGAGTAATTTAAATTCCAGCTTGAAGCCCGTAGCAATGTTTTTTTTTTTTGTTTTTTTTTTTTTGCCGACGCGAACCTTTGCGGCTGACAACTAACCAGCCCAACCCATGCCAGTCCAGCCCAACCAACCTGCACAGAAATGTGTAAAATCATTTTTTACATCGTTTTTTAAGAATTGAAATTTTATAAAATAGTGTTTTTGAAAATACAGCCTATTAGTTAACGACGTGTATTTAAGAATTACTAAAATTTTATATTTATTATAAATTTTTTCGCTCTTATTATCATTCTCTTAGACTTTTTATATTTGTGAATATAAACATATCTTTGCCTTTCTCTCTCTTTCTTTCTCTCTATCTCTCTCTCGCTCTATTTCACTTTCGCTTTTATGTCCTTCTGCTGTCTCTCTTCCCTTTCGTCCCTCCTGCTCTCTCTACTCTAACCTCTCCCCCTTTCTTTCTTTCCTTCTTTCTCCTCTCTCCTCTCTCCTGTCACCTCTCTTTTACTCTGCTTATCTCCTATCTCCTATCTCCTATCTCCTATCTCCTATCTCCTATCTCCTATCTCCTATCTCCTATCTCCTATCTCCTATCTCCTATCTCCTATCTCCTATCTCCTATCTCCTATCTCCTATCTCCTATCTCCTATCTCCTATCTCCTATCTCCTATCTCCTATCTCCTATCTCCTATCTCCTATCTCCTATCTCCTATCTCCTATCTCCTATCTCCTATCTCCTATCTCCTATCTCCTATCTCCTATCTCCTATCTCCTATCTCCTATCTCCTATCTCCTATCTCCTATCTCCTATCTCCTATCTCCTATCTCCTATCTCCTATCTCCTATCTCCTATCTCCTATCTCCTATCTCCTATCTCCTATCTTCTATCTCCTATCTCCTATCTCCTATCTCCTATCTCCTATCTCCTATCTCCTATCTCCTATCTCCTATCTCCTATCTCCTATCTCCTATCTCCTATCTCCTACCTCCTATCTCCTATCTCCTATCTACTATCTCCTATCTCATCTCTACTCTCTCCTATCTACTCTCTCCTCTCTACTCTCTACTCTCTCCAAAATAATCTAAAACCCAGCTTCTATAGGAAACTAAACTTGCCTTGGACTGACTTTGCATTGATCAAAATTCACTCAATCGCTCAGTATGTACATAGTTAATATTCATTCTATTTTTAATATGTCGTATAGCTCAAATGGACGTACCCACTAGATAGCGCCCTAATTGCTGTCCCGAAGCTTATTTAATGCCTGTTCACTGGTAGCATCCAGTGTGCATTTAGCATAGCCTATTAACATATCTGGCAACGTGCTTAACAGCTATGCCAGCTGACCATGCTCTGGCCACCAATCAGCCAGGGAGTGGGCTCGATGTCAGACTTTGTTGGTGGTCACGTTTCGAAGCCCGCAACGAGACAGCCTTGCATAATTGCGCCGCCAAGTGCAGGTCTGCAGTTCTACTACCTCATCGCATAAATAACCCAACAGGCACACACATAGAAAAATACTCCTATTTTAAATATACACATATATATATATATATATGTATATATATGTGTGTGAGCGTATGATGTTTGGCTTTTTGTCTAGCATGGCTATTATGCAAATGGTACTTTGTTTTAACTGCGGTTGGCCTGATGACTATGGCTGAGACCGAGGCTGAGCTCGACATTAGTTCGTCATCAGCATTGGTAACTGCCTCGCCCCCCTTTGCTTCTCTCTCTCTCACTCTGTGGCCACATTACTCGGACAATTAATATGCCAAGTGTTATGTGTGCGCATACTAATGACTTTTTCCAGTGGCCAGGCAGCCAACCATCTTGCCCCAGCTCCAGCTGCATCGGCATCTACATCTACATCTGCATCTGACTTGTGGCGAGCTCATCTGTCAACTGTGGTCATCTATCAATAAATGTTCAACGGCCCGACTAAACGGCGCAGTCGCAACTGCCCTGCCCTTCCCACACACTCACACACACTCATTACATTAAGTTTTATAGTCGGGGGCTGGCTACTTGAGCCATTCCCAGTTATACATATGCATGACTCACTGCTCGGCCAGACACGCGCCTGGCCCACAATTGTTGGGCACAGAACGAGCAGCCTCTCACATGTGGCGCTGCCTCTAAATCGAGTTTTAAAAAGATTTTTTACGTCTTAAGTGCACTTAAAAGTTTTACGAACGCCGATATTAGCATTTGCTTCGTGCATTCCAGAGAGCTCAAATAGATTTTCGACTTTTTGGCAGTTGTAAAAGATAAATTAGTAACATATTAGCTTTAGCTCGATTCATTCATAGACCACTAAATGTGCAGTGTATTTACTAAGCCAACCATCAGTAAAAATATCCCAAAACACAAACAAATAGTGGAGCAATACAAACAAAAAGCAATCGCACACAAAAGCCCACAAATAAATCAAAAGAAAGTAAAATTACGACGCGTCGTTTCATCGAACTGCGAATCTACAGCATATAAAAATGTATTTCAATAAAATCACAAGCGAGAAAAACTTTCGCTACTTCAGTGGCAAAACCAAAAGCAAAAACAAAACCGAAATCTATATAAAAAGTGGAGAACATATTTATTCAGCTAGACGAATAATAAATGCGCTTCAATTAACAAGAAAAGACAAGCGACAAAACCTGTTTACGCTTGGCTGGCAAAGATGGCGAAGAATCGAAATGAATCAGAAAGTTGAAGATTTGAATTTCATAAATTTGAACTGAAAAACTTTTTATATGTCTACAGTTGACAGAATTCGGTATAAATCTTCGACTTGTTGTCAGAGTATGAAATGCCGTTAAATAAAGTTCGAAAAGTTTTGATGTTGCGTTGCGTGAAGTATTATTATCATGGTCAAACCGGCGTGGCCTACGCATGCGCAGAATACAAAGCCAGACACACAAACACAAACACACACACACACACACACATACACTCGCACACACACACGACTGTGTTTGTAGATTGGCAAAGTGGACGTGCCACAGGCCAGAACCACTTTTTTTTCTGCCTGCTCGCTTGTAATGTGAATTTTGGTGAAATGTTTGTCGCTGGCTTTCAAATTTGTGGCTGGCTTTTCAGTTTGCATCGAGCCACACGAGTTGGTGGTGTCGCTTGAGAGTAGAGAAAGCCACCGAGCAAACTTTTTCTCATACTAAAATGACTTGGAGCGGTTTGCCGATCTGCCTGCCGCTGCTGCTGCTGCTACTGCTAATCGGATCAACTGCATCGCAGCAATTGAACATATCAGCGCTGCCTTCAGGGGGCCCCACGCCAACATCCATTGTGCTGAAGCAGTCCCAGAATACGTTCGTTCAATGGGTTCTCTCACTGTTGCCGCAACGTCCCGCCGTGGCCACGGAGACCGCGACAGTGGCCACGCTGAGCAGTTCGGCGACAGCGCCCACTGAGACGCCAGCTGAGTCAACGACAACCACAACACAGGCGCCCACAACGACTCGAAAGGCCACCACGCCGGCGCCACCGACGCTGAGTCCGCCAAGGAATTGCAGCGACTGCGTCTGCGGCGTGGCCAACATACAGAAGCGCATTGTCGGCGGCCAGGAGACGGAGGTGCATCAGTATCCCTGGGTGGCCATGCTACTCTATGGCGGACGTTTCTACTGCGCCGGCTCGCTGCTGAACGATCAATTCCTGCTGACGGCCTCGCACTGTGTCTACGGCTTCCGCAAGGAGCGCATTTCGGTGCGTCTGCTGGAGCACGATCGCAAGATGTCGCATCTACAGAAAATTGATCGCAAGGTCTCGGAGGTAATCACGCATCCCAAGTACAATGCCCGCAACTACGACAACGACATTGCCATCATCAAGCTGGACGAGCCCGTGGAGTTCAACGAGGTGCTGCATCCAGTCTGCATGCCGACGCCGGGGCGCAGTTTCAAGGGAGAAACAGGCGTCGTCACCGGCTGGGGTGCAATCAAAGTGGGTGGCCCCACCTCTGATACGCTGCAGGTAAGAAGGAATGACAAGAAAACGAAAATTTGCTAACGATTCCGCACAGGAAGTTCAGGTGCCTATTCTATCGCAAGACGACTGCCGCAAGAGTCGCTACGGTAACAAGATCACGGACAACATGCTCTGCGGCGGCTACGATGAGGGCGGCAAGGATTCCTGCCAGGGCGACAGCGGCGGCCCGCTGCACATCGTGCCAAACGGCACACGCGAATTTCAAATCGCTGGAGTCGTCTCGTGGGGCGAGGGCTGCGCCAAGGCTGGCTATCCAGGTGTCTATGCGCGAGTGAATCGCTACGGCACCTGGATCAAGAACCTCACCAAACAAGCCTGCCTGTGCCATCAAGAGACCAAGAAGATCAAGTAATTGGCACAGAGTTCAGCATTCGTCGTTCACTTGCAGAGGCTGCCACAACTGAAGATATGAGGCGAATGAATACTCTACAATTAGATTTGAATTCGATGCTTTGATTGGACGAAATTCAAGTTTTTTGATTCGAAAACTTTCGTTATTTTTCGTGATATATCAACCAAAAGATACAAAACATAAGACACTAATCGGAAAGCTTAGTTTTTCTAGAGGAAAAAAACTAGTTCCTTTCTCTCGATTATGTTGCTGAAATTAATCTAAATTAAGAAGAAATCTAGCAAATGCCTCTGCAAGTGTATCAAAGACTTCGACTTGTCGAAGATATTTTATTTACATATTTTCCTTATTTATTAAATCAAGAAAAAGAAAAAAAATCTGTTGGGTATCTATAGAGCTGCAGCATTCCAGTAGAATGGCAATAACCTTTCCTGGGTCCGGTTTTCTGGCTGGTCTAGCCAGTTCTGCAGCCGGTTGAGGTTTAGGGTTATTCTGGCTTGGCCTTCTTGTGGGCATTGCCAAGGATGCGCCAATTCAGTTGCCAATTGCCAGTTGGCCAGTCGAGTTCGCTAACAGAATGAGATACATTTGCCTGCTGTCAGTGGTGGGCCTTGCCCTAGCCACGCCCAGTCTGCGCAGCGCCTCAGAGCCAGCCAAGATATTGGAGTCGTTGAACACTTTGCGTCAGAACAGCTTCCTGGACTGGATCGTGTCCGTGTTGGGTCCGGACTACCCTGACACGAGTGCGTCGCCCGCCAAGCGGGAGTGCCCGGCCTGTGGCTGCGGCAACATTAATACGCGACATCGCATCGTTGGGGGCCAGGAGACAGAGGTGCATGAGTATCCCTGGATGGCCATGCTGATGTGGTTTGGCAGCTTCTATTGTGGCGCCACGCTGGTCAACGATCAGTACGCCTTGACGGCGGCACACTGCGTCAATGGCTTCTACCATCGCCTGATCACTGTGCGCCTGCTCGAGCACAATCGCCAGGACAGCAATGTGAAAATCGTGGACAGACGAGTGACTCGCGTGCTCGTCCATCCCAACTATAGCACAGTCAACTTCGACAGCGACATTGCGCTCATTCGGTTCAATGAACCAGTGCGCCTAGGCATCGACATGCATCCCGTTTGCCTGCCAACGCCAACAGAGACATTCGCTGGCCAAACGGCCGTGGTGACTGGCTGGGGCGCTCTCAGCGAGGGCGGCCCCATATCCGATACCCTGCAGGAGGTGGAAGTACCCGTACTGTCGCAGCAGGAGTGCCGTGAGACCAGCTACGGCTCTGAGAAGATTACCGACAACATGATCTGTGCCGGCTATGTGGAGCAGGGTGGCAAGGACTCGTGCCAGGGCGACAGCGGTGGACCCATGCATGTCATTGACGAGAAACAGAGCTATCAACTGGCCGGCATTGTGTCCTGGGGCGAGGGCTGCGCTAAGCCCGGCTCACCCGGTGTCTATACACGCGTGAGCAACTTTAACGAGTGGATTGCGGCTAACACTCGCGACTCATGCGCCTGCAGCCAGGCCGAGGAGGTGGCGCCAGCTGAAGCTGCCAGCACCACAACCGAGCAGCCAGAGATGGCCACAGCTCAGACCAGCGAAGGCCCAGAAGTGGTGGAAGCTGAGTTGCTTGCTTAAGATTTTTGATGTATACGAAAATTCTTTTAAATAAAGGCAATGCCCATACAATATAACCTCTTTCCATAACCTCTTTCCATCAATCCATTTGCCAATACTTTTCGATTGCCCAACTCAACAGCTGCTCAACACTGGCGTTTGACATTTCAGTTAAGAGAAAACTTCATTAATTCTAGTCCTTACCATGGATTCTTCTACTCGAGTAGTTTTTAAGCTTGCTGAGTATATGAAACAGCAAAATAATCAAAATAATCTGAGTGAGAAAATCTTGCCGCTACAGCCGAAAGTCATTGGCGGCTTCAGTGTGACGAGCGAGCGCTTCTATAGGTCCGATACGAACGAGTTAAAGTTTCTAGTGGTGCCGGAGACAGACAAGTTTCCCCTGAATCTCAATAAGCAGCATGTTTTATTCAATGAGCATGGCCACCATGCTGAGTATTTGGACAAAATGCTCTACTTTATTAGAGATAACCAAGACGCAATGGTCAAAAGCTGTGCGGTGCAGGCGGACGTTGTCACTCGGGCCGATGTGCTGGAAACCCTGATGCGTACGCTCTACATGAAACGTAATTGGAGCATTTTGGGCAGCAGGTATCGGAACACGATTTACTTGTGCTTGACGAAGCCCAGTCATTCGGGTCTGACTCCAGCGGAGTTGGCAACAGAGCGAAATCGTCAAATAATGGAAGCGAAGCTGAAGCAATTCTTATTCTCAGGTAAAGCCGAATGAGTAACTGAACATTAGAACAGCCCATTCATGAATTACATCACAGACACACCTGATAAATCGTCAATTTTGAGATGTACTGGCGGCGAGTTTCATGGCGTGTTCAGGTGCAAAATTGGCGAACTCTCCGTGGTCTATGCGTCCATCATGGGTGGCCATCACGCTAAGCACAAACAGTGGGTATTTGCTTTGCTTTAGGCACCAGTTCAAATCTAATTTGAGTGTTTCTAGTGCATTGAACAAGAAATCAAGCAGATTTGCGGAGTGCAAAGTGATGCTATCGCATTCAACTGAGCCATGCAGCCAATGGAAGCCACAGCCGGAAGAAGCCTTACTCTGGTGGTCCGAGTGCTGCTTGAAGGATGTCAAGGAAATTTACATAGCTCGACCCCAGAGCTCTGGACATGTGCAGAGCGTCAGCACGAGCTTGCTGACTACACTAATTCAAGATAATGTGATTTGTTAAGCTAAATAATATTTGCTCTGCTTATTATTTGCTTATGCTTACAGATCAACAATTGGTCGAGCGAAATGTGCATAAGTCTTCTGTCTGATATTCTGATGCAGATTCGCAGCGTCATGCAGCTGGACAACGCCAGTGCCGTTTATCGTTTCGATTATATTGCCAATCCGGGCATACTCAAATACAATCTGACTAAGCAGCGCAACGAGCAGACGTTCCTAGCAGATTGGTATCGCCTGATGCTGGAGAAGCCACAGGCAGATATACCCAACATAAGAAGGCATAAATGATCAAATAAAAATACTTTAAATTGAGCAAGTCGCTGCCCGAGCTGGGTGCCAAGCGTTTAACTTCCCTGGGTCCACTTTGCAAGGTGTTGGCTGTAGCACGCACAGGCCACAGAACATAAAATCTGACCCTCGGGTGACTCAGTTGTTATTGTTCTTTCGCTTGTTAACTGGCATCTCGGGCCGCTTCAATTTCCGTCTGCAATCTGCGAGTTTTTTGCTTTTCTTAACTTTGCCCCTGAGGCATTGAACAATTTTTCTGCTCGAAATTGGCACTAAATCAAAACACGAATTACACGAACAACAAGCACAACTCCTACACGAAATGCCAGCGTGTCCCATTGCTGTTGTCGGTGCGGCAACGATCCTGCAACATTGATAAATAACTAAATAATAAAATAAACAGCACAAAAGGTGCTAAAACATTAAAGGCGGCCTTTGACGTGTCCGCTCCAAATAAAAGTGGGAAAAAGTTCAGTCGACAGAGGCCTTTTGGCATTATAATTATGCACACGACAAGGCAAAGTTAGTATATTGAGGCATAAATAGTTATTTTCAAACGTCCTTTCAATTTCATTTTCTATATCATACCCTGTGCACAGTGACAACAAACAAGTAGGTATATTAATGATGTAGGGTGAGCAATATTGATGTGTAAAAGACGGCGTTTCAAAGCCTGTAAGTTAGCTTGATATAATTTTAATTTAAGGTATATTTGGGTGTTTTTTCGAGAGTTACACAAGTTTAAGTTATAATAAAAAATAGAAAAATATTTTTAAAATCAATTAAAATAAATTTAGTAGTTTTTTTACTTTTAATAATTTACAAACTTAAGTGCAGTGTAATAAAATATTAAACAAAACTTGACAAAAAATAACTATAAGCTGTTAAATGTGTTGTCAACAGTGCTCAAAGTTGTAATTCCCTAAATAACAAATTTTTTATATAATTAACAATATGCCTTAATTTATGAAATTTTTTGTGAGTTTTACAAATAAATAATGCGAAAAATTTGTCACTTAAATTTTTTCTGTTCTACATATAGGGTATCTGGTAGTTAGTCCTCGCTAAAGACATCTCTATTTTTTAGTGCCTTTTTTCAAGCATAGCGCATATTTGCTGCAATCGAGCGCATTTTGTGCTTAGCCGCCGGCTGGTTAAAAAAATTTATTGGGGCGTGAAATTGTTTGATTGAATATTAGTGTTTGAGCCTTTATATATTTTGTGCTTTGGCTTTTCCTGTCGTGCGCTTGTTATGGGGGCCAAAGAGTGCCTTTGAATTGCAACAGCAGACGTTGAGTAAACTTAAAATACTTATCAATGTGCGAAATTGTTAACTGTATTGAAAAAAATAGGAAAAAATCATTTTAAAATCTTTAAAACTTGTTTCTATATCAAATTTTACTGGAGCAAGTATAGAAAAAATGCAAAAATCTACTCCTTTTACCAATTTGGACGAGAGTTCGAAAAGCCACCAAAATTATTGTACAGGTCTGTCAGACCGGGATTGTGGATGAAAGTCGATTCTTTAAGCAAATCCAATCACATGCAGAGCACAACAGACAGTATTGATGAGGGTAGCACTGCATACCAATGCGCCTACCAACAATTTTTCGGCCATAAGCAATACGACATCGAGTATGTTTGCAGCTGGCTAAGGATGGCATGGACATAGTATCTCTAAGACTCAACTTTCAAGCGTACGCACCTCTATGAATGTTACTACAAGACTCAGCGAATGCTGCGCAATCACGACACAGAGAGAGACGCATGTAATCAAAGCCATCAGTGTTACTATGGCCAGAGCTTCTACCAAACGAACGGCGACCGGCATTCCATACACATAAATAGTCTGATAATATTTTGAATTTTAAAAATGTTTTTTTGATAGGGCTCGAAATGAAAGTAAAGGGATAGTTAAGAGAAAGGATATTGAAATGTTCAGAAAAATAAAATAATCTGTAAATAAAGTACTCTAGCCCATATATATATATATATATAGAGGTATTTTTCAGTTGCAATCGCATGCATAATCAGAGCTAAGCTCTCTTGTTAAGCCAATTTGCCTCAACATAAAAACGATTTCAATTTTTCAAACTCATTTCGTGCGAGTGGATAAACAAGCCCACACTATTTTTTGTTTCTGCTGGAAAAGCCACAAAACCGCCAGCAAATTATAGTTTTCCATCGCTATATTTTTTTTTGTTGCCTTTTTATGCATCCCATTTAGAGGCATAAATATTTTTCAATATGCAATTCCAATTATCCTATGCAAATGCAATTTGTCTCGCTGCCGAGCAATTTGGTTCCCTTTCCAGCGTACGCCCTAAACTAGGCCCGTTTTGTCCGGCTTTGATGTGTCTGCGTTGGCATAGATTGTTCTGAATTATGGCACTAAATGGCTAGACATGTTACATAATTCATTTAGTCTGAACCGGGCAGGCGCACAGGCCCAGGCACTAGCCACTCGCTCTCTGCCAGCTACAGAACATCATGAAAGCAGTGCAACAATTGTTAGTTTTTTTTTAAAGCCTTATCGACATATTTGTTTTATAGAAAATTCAATTAGCAGCAAGTTGCTAAAAGAGAAATAAAAATAATATAAATTAATTGATTTCTGGGCTGGAGCTTTTCCAATAACTTATTAAAGCACTCGGCGAGGCAGCCCAGCGGCTATTGACTCAAGCATGCGGCTGACAGAGTCTGCCTAAGTTGAGTTTTATTAGCCAAGACGCAACACGGAGATTTTCCGGTTTCTGCTTTTGATTTCTTTTTAGCCAACTTCATAAAAATCCGAAAATAAATATTTGCACACATAAGTTCAGGCGGCGTTGTCGACGATGTTGTTTTCGTCTGGAGACAGACGGCAAAATAAGCGGAAAGTTTTGTCGCAAATCCCCGGCATGGCCCAGCCGCAGGCAATCGATAGACAGAAAAGAGCAAAACGAAATTAAAATATAGCCAAAATTGAGAAACGACTACGATTTACACTGGAGCTGCTACTGGTATCTAAGCAATGCGCAAGAATTCAATTTGAAATTGATAAGTTGAGCATCAAATGATATAGAAGCATAAATTAATATATAAGGTAGATCGATTCTGCTTGTTCTCTCGATCGATACATATTTTTGATCAGTTGCAAATAGGCATAAATTTGTTATATATTTTATTAATATGTATTGATATCTTGAATCAATGAGAGATTGAAGATAAAAACTTAGGTATATTAGTTCCATTATTAAATAATAATCAAAGCAAGTCTTCTACACTGATGACCTATCAACCCCTTTCATATCACGCTTGGTAGGGTATTTGCAAGCACCCAGCTCTCAACATCGCAAATGCAGCTTACCTTTTTATTCAGCATATTTAAGCCACTTGCCCGTAGTCTTATCGTCTCGATATTAAGCTCTTATTGTATTTTGTATTTATTGGTATGAAAATAAAAGCAACAACAACGACGACGACAGCAATTTGCATTGCAACATTAAAAATGTGTGCCCAATGGTGCACGAAACCGGAAATGCCACCTGTTATTTGTATACAATATCTCCATATTGTCATCAATATATATATACATATTTATACACGACTTGCAGCAGATGGACAGTTTGTCTGGAAGTTCAGGCGAATTTTAACGCTTCAATAAATGATTTTTTAATTTAAATATTTTTTTAAATATTTAAAAAACTTTAATATGGAAATCTTTAGCAAATGTAAGTGAGTTAAGGTAATTGATATTGGGGTTTCAAAGGTCGCAATACTATTTACAAGTAAAACCTAATGATAATGAGATTGTCATTTTGGCAAGCCAAATAAACTTAAAGAAAATTTATTATTTTAGACAATTTTCAATGTTGCACTAAATTTTATTATCTTCTTAAAACATTTTCGACCAACGCTGGTCAAGAAAATAAAAAAGATAGACAGAGAACGAAAGAGCAAAACAAAATATCAAAGTAAAGCTCATTATAATTCCAACCGAAAACCGATCCATTTCAATGCCCACTCCCTTGGTTCCATTCCGGCGCTTGCCTTTGCCTTTGCCTTGTTTTCGTTCTTTTGATTTCATTATTGTTTTTATTGCTTCGTATTTTTGTGTGTCCAACTGACTGAGTTTGCCAAAGCAAAAGGCGCATTTTAATTCCATTATTTCATTTGGCCAGCCCCTCCCAGCCCCCTGCACCCAGCTCCCATCTACTGTCTCTTTGTCTCAGGCCACGTTTTCCATTGAAATGCGCATAAAAAGGGTATTAAAGCCGAGGCATTCGCCGATTGTAAAGTTTTTTTTTCTTCTCTTGTTTTTTGGCACATTTTCAAAGCAGAACACGCCTTGCCGCATTTTTGCTGGGCTTCGCCTTCGCATTACAAATTAATAAACAATTTTTTCTCTTGTATTTAAGCTAGCTACAAATTTGCGAGTTATTGCCACATTTCGTATATATTTTTTTATGATTTCTGCCCAACGTCTTCTCGGCTCGTCCTAATGAATCATGGTTATGCCAGCAATAATTTAGTTTTAATAGCACTTTGGTGACATTTATGCTGTCAGCGGCATACAATTTTATTAATGTTCAAATGAGCTGCCATACATGCTATCATTATAAAGAGATATCACAGCTTTTAATGTCAGTTTTGGAAGCTTTGTGCAAAATGAACTTATGGAACGCCCGCCCGCCCTCTGTGTGCGTGTGTATGTATGTGTGTATGTGTACGTGAACCCGAAGTTATGAACTTAAAGATGCTGCTATGTGATTTTTAAAACTAAGCTAAAAATATTTGACAGCTCTTCAGATTAATATATTATATTATACATTTAGAAAATATTATATAATTTAATTTATTTAATATAATTTAAAAAATATATATATAAAAATATATAATATAAAAAAATACATAAAAAATATATATAAATAATATAAATTAAATAATATAATAAAAAATAAAAACTTAGATAAAAAATATTAAGTAGAAAATAAAATTCGCAAAATATAAATATTAATATATATAATATAACTTTTTTAATTTAAGTCACATGCTTAATTACGTGCAGTAAAGCGTCTGTTTGATGTATGAAGTATAAAAATATGACAAATATTTTAAAATATAAAAACAAATGAAACATATATATAAATGCTTATATAAAACAAGAGCTAAAAAAATTGATTAAATTATTTGAATCCTAAAATTATAATAAACAACCTGTCAATTTTTTTTAAATTAATTTAAATTTAAAATTGAAATAAGCAAGTAACTGAAAGCTTTTGTTTTCAAGACTCTAAGCCCACAAAAGTGACTTTTTAGCAATATCTTTATCAACTTTAATCAACTTCAGTGTACTGCATATGAGACTCCAATGCTCCAGCTACAAGACTTGATGCCTTACCAGGTGAACTGCACTATACTACTTCAACCTACGCTATTCGGATGCCCTTACCTCTTCAACTAGGCATATTAAGATACACACTTATAAATATCACAGTGTATTTTCAAGTCGAAGCTAATTAGAACTTTTAATGGCAATAGTTATAACATTTTATTGGATTTATGTTACTTTCAGTTTTCGATTTCTTTTTTTTCCCTGCAACCCTGCGAGCTTGGCTCTTTAATGAGCCACTCGGCGAGTGCAACACTAACCTAATCAGTTGGCTCACTTAAGTAATAAAGCAATTTATCGCTTTTCAATATCCTTTAAGCAGTTTTTGCCCTTTTACTTCCTATTATTACACTTCCTGAGCCCGGCCCTCGAGCGCAGTGGATGAATAAAGAACCCACACAAATTATTTTCGCGCTGGTTTCATCTTATTTTTACAGCTCCATCGCCTGTGGAGGATGCGCGGCTGCGGCGGCGGCTGTTGCTTTTGGTTTTGCTCTTTTAACTTGTCGCTTTGCTTCGCCAGCGGCACACGTTGCCATTTTTATGGCTTGAGCTTGGCATAGGGACAGGGATAGGGATCGGGATCGGGATTGGGTTTGGGCTTGAGAGTGGTATTGGCACTGGGCTCTTGGACTAAGACTGGGTCATATCCTGGGCCGCCTGCACGTTTTTGCCCAACGCCGTTGGCGTTGCCAGACCAGTTTGATTTTAGTGGCCAGCGCAAAGCAAGGGCCAGTAATGATTTTATTACACGATTTTATATCGAATTTTATTACCTTTGTGCATGACGCTGCTGCCGATGCCGAGGACAGCGCAAGGATTGCGCTTGTGTCGTTGTCCTTACGCCTTTGGCAACTGCCATTGGAATTTACGCACTCATAAAATTGGCCGCTTGAATTGTGTGGGAATTCCGAGGCGAAAAACTCTTTGCAATGACCCCAACTCTGCCGGCCATCATAATTCAATATCATAAAACGTTTATCCAATTAATTTCGACTGGTAATATTTATAGCCAGTTCGTGTAGTGATGCGAATAGAAGTAGATCTTTAAGTTTGCTTCACTCCACCGGGAGGAGGTGGCTGGGTTTATTCGCTAACACTAAGATGTGGTGCAATGTGCAGTTGGTGGCTGCAGACTCATCATATTTATTTTCAAGTAGTTGCTACGTTGTACACCTGAGGGGAATAGCTTAATATTGTTGGGACATTTATGGATTATAGAAATGTGCTTAACTTCGGTCAAAAAGGAAAATAGTTCAGTGACGTAGTTATTAAACTGATGTCAGTAGATCGATCTATCTTTCCTAATATCATAAGATAATTATCTCATATAAGTATTTAAGGTACTTCTCCTTTTTCTTATCTACAAGTTATAAAGGTTATTTTTTAATATGTATGAATGGTATAATGGATATAGATTTGCAAATTATTTATAGAGACAGAGTCCAGCACTCGAGCCGTTGTCGCTGTTGTTATTTGGACAACTTAAAGCCATAATCAAGTCATAGTAATTTGTTTTCTTAACTATATATTATTTTTAAAGTATAAAAAAACATTTTCCAAACCAACTTTATAGCCTTTTTATTAGCTTGCACTTCAACTACCAGACTCTGCACTGCATATCTCATACTTATCTGCTGGCAGAGTATATAGCATTCGACGTGCTCTGCTTATACGTATTAAAAAAGTACAATGATTTTATATGACATGTACTAGTATGTGTACTCATACTGATCTTGCAAATGTATCCAACGGCTGTTTTTGGTGCACGCTTCATTGACTTTGACTGTTCCACTTGCATATGGCTCTCGATCTCATTGCTCTCTGTCTTTCTCTCTCTACTATTTTCCGTTGTGCTCTTTTCCGCTGACCTAATCGGGTTAGATTTCCAATTACGATTATGCTGTCACTTGGCTAATAAGCACACCCAACACACCCAACACACACACGGCCAACCCACACACATGCAACTGACATCCAAGCCAAATACAAATGTCATTACCGTCTGTTGCCGTTGTTGTTGTTAGTGATATTTGTTTCAGTGTCAAGTTCAGTTCTCAATGTTGCATGTTTGCCCGTTTGCCGTTTGCCGTTTGCCGTTTGCGGCGTTTCAAATGGCTGCATGCCAAATATAATGGGTTTCCCTTGATGAGTTTGCCAGCTATGCATGCAGATAGAGATAATCGTAGCAGCAGCGGCAGCAACAACAACAATTATAACAACATACATTCGTGTGTATGTTGCAATACTTTGCTTTTGTGCTCACTGACTGAATTATGGCATAGTTTTCCATATTTCAGTTTTGTTGAGTTTTCAAATTTCGCAATGTCGTATGGAAGTGCTAGAAAATGCATTGGGGGCATGCAGGAAGCCTCATTTAATGTTCGTCATCTGTTCGCAAAGTAGTTTATTATTGCTGCTCTATGAATATTATTCTAATTGCAAACGCGATGTGAGTAAATCAAACAAGTTTTCTCTTTGTTTCCCTTTAATATGTTGTTTATAGAGCAACATTTGCTTGGCTAACTTTGGCTGCTGAGAAATTGAGAATTCAGAGTGTTGGAAATATTAGTTTGGTCGAGGGCTAATCAAGTGGCGTCGGTGGTGTAATGGTCAGCATAGTTGCCTTCCAAGCAGTTGATCCGGGTTCGATTCCCGGCCGACGCACAAGTACATTTTTTTTAATTTTATATTTTTTTTTTTAAACTGCTTTCGACTTTCCAGTGCTTTTTATCAAGTCCCGATTGGCCCCATTTTTTTTCTGCTGTCATTCTTAAAGATCTAACAATGAGTCGATATATCCTAAGGAAGAATTCCCTCTCTCTCTCTTTCTCTCTCTTCAGCTGTTCACGCACTATAAACAGGGCATTGCTTAGTTGGTAACACCCAATTGGCAATAGTCTTGATTGCATGCCAAGAAACAGATGCTTTCATTGCATGTAATACAAACGCTTCTGGCATATTAAAATTTTGTGTTTGTCAGATTAGGACTAACATGGAACTAGGCTAAAAAATGCATTCAGCAGCAAATGCTCTTACGGCAGCTGCGTTCAAGCTATTGACGTGCACGAATGTTGGCGATTTATATGGCAATTCGCGCGCTCAATCTCCGCCCTTGCCCAGGCGCTGACGTCAGTTGAGCGTTGAGCGTTGAGCGTTGAGCGCTGAGCGCTGAGCACGCTGAGCGAGCTTCTGAAGCGCATCAGCTACATGTGTAGATAGATCTAAGTAGATGCCACCAGAGCGGGCCTGAGCATACCTGAAGTTCATAGTTAAATGATTTCATTCGCTATTTAATTTTCGTTTGAACTTTGTTGCGTATTCGACTCAGTTTCAGTTCTCGAGCGCAAGCCAACCCAGGCAAATGCAAACAGCTCGTATCAGCGCGATTTACTTGTCGATCCAATGTTGGTCCTACACGTTCTGTGTCTAGGCTTAGTAGGCGCGCATCTGGCCGCAGCAGCCGTGCATCAATCAATTCAGGATGCGCGACGCGCGCACCAGCAGCTCGTGCAGCGCTATATCAAGACACTAAATAAGGAAGAGGGCGCCATACGTCTAGTTGGCGGCGATGCCGAGTATGAAGGTAGGAGTTGGCTTTGTTTCCCTACCCCTTAATGGCAACTAAATGAGATGAAAAGCTACTCAATACTGGCTCTGAACACATTATTCCTTCTCGTCTCAGGCAACATTGAGGTGCTGCACAATAACAAATGGGGCGCCGTTTGCGATGATGAATGGGATGGCGCTGAGGGCGAGATCGTGTGCCGCCAATTGGGCTTCCTTGGGCTGCGCCGCTTCACCCACAGCGGCTACTTTGGGCCCGCGCGGCGTCGCTACTGGATGGACAATCTTTACTGCGAGGGACACGAACAGGAGCTGACCGAGTGCCACTTTGAGGGCTGGGGAGTCAACGACTGTGAGCCCAGCGAGGCAGCTGGCGTTATATGCCATCCGCCAATGGATGCCGTTTGGCCGCCGCCAGCCGCCTTTGAGGATGAGCGCCAGCTGCCCAAGTATCCCATACATCCCAGCTCACGTCTGTATGTGAGGCTGCGCGGCGGTCGCTCAAGGAACGAGGGACGCGTCGAGGTGCGCATTGACGGCCAGCGCTGGGGCAGCATCTGTGCGGATGGCTGGTCCATGCTGGAGGCGAATGTGGTCTGCCGTCAGCTGGATTTGGGCTACGCTCGCGAAGCCTTTCAGACGGACTACTTTGGCGGCGCCAATGTCTCCCGGCCCATGCTCAGCGGCACCGAGTGCTATGGCAATGAAACAGAGCTGGCGGACTGCCTGCACCACAATCATTTGCGAGGCATTGTGAGCTGCCATGGCAGCAGGCAGCATGTGGCTGCTGTGATCTGTGACTATCTGTCGCCCGATTTGGTTGTGGATTACTATGAAATAGAGCAAACGGCTCACCTCGAGGATCGGCCCATGCTACTGATGCAGTGCGCCATGGAGGAGAACTGTGTCTCCAACGAGGCCTATCAAATACAGCGCGACAGTCCCAACTGGCGTTATCAGACGCGAAGATTGCTCAAGTTCACAGCAGCCGCAATCAACGCTGGCAACACCGACTTCAGGCCCTTCAAGGAGAAGAGTCAATGGGAGTGGCACATGTGTCATATGTAAGCACGAGGAGGTGATAGCTGTAAAAAGGTTTTGATAGCTTTCTCGTTGCTTTGCAGGCACTACCACAGCATGGAGGTGTTCGCTACCTTTGACATATTCGACTTAGAGGGGCGCAAGGTGGCACAGGGTCATAAAGCTTCGTTCTGCTTGGAGGACAGCAGCTGCCTGCCAGGTGTTGCCCGGAAGTACAACTGCGCCAACTTTGGGGATCAGGGTAAGGGCAAGTGCTAAACATTCTAAAGCCGGCTTAAAATCGCTTTTCTTAGGAATCTCTGTCAACTGCTCTGATGTTTATCTATATAATCTGGACTGCCAGTGGGTAGACATAACCGAGTTGCCACGCGGCTCATATATACTTAAGATTGCCATCAATCCGGAATTCAAGGTGGCCGAGATGAGCTACGACAACAACGCTGCCATTTGTGACCTTTCGTACGCCGAGAATTATGCGCGCGTTGACAATTGTCGTCTAGCGAGACCTTAAAGCTGCCGACTTTAAAATTTGAACAGTGCCAAATATTATGATTAGCGTTAACCGTAAATGTGTTTGTATTATGCGACCTATTCTCTTTTTTACCCAAATAAAACTGCACATGTCTTGAGGTCGTCTCGAAGTACAAACGAGAGTGTACCAAATAATGAACTTGAGAATCAGTCGAGTGTAAACATGTCAGAGACATCAACGGCATTGTCAACGCCAGTCAAGCATTTATCAAATGCCCATACCTGAGCTCTCGTACAGATATTATTGTCATCGCAGGTGGGTGTTGAACTGGAACTGAAGTATTGTATTTGGCTAAAACAGATTTACAAGTTTGAAATGTTGACTCTGGCAGCGTTCATTAAATGCACTCAGTTGCTAACTATAAACAATTTTTACAAAATTATACTAAGCAATTCATATTTGCAGTATTTTTGCCATTAATTTCAGTTAGATTTTGAGGGTGAAACAAACAGCCAATTAGCTGCAGCTAAGTCTTGAAAATAGAGCAAAAATAGTTAAATGAAATATATAACAAAATTTCAAAATTTAAACAATTTATAGTCATAAAACATATTTTTTATGAAGTAAGTCTTATTAATTTCCTTAAAACCTTTGCTGACTTACCTTAGAAAGCTTTCCATGACAACAACAAAATTTTTTTTCTAAAGAAAACTTTGTAAAATTGTGAAGTAAACGTTCTCTTTGAACAAGCTGAATAGTGGAGTACGAGCATGAAAAAAATATATAAAAAAATACTATTAGTAAAAGTGTAAAGCAGTTACAAATAAAACTTGAATCACAAAGATTGTCATAGTGAATGCTAACCAGAGCAAAGGAGCGAACTGAAAAAGAAGTTGCAAACTTATAGCTAAAGGAAGGCTAGATTAGTTGCGTCAGCTTCATCTGCAAATGGCCGAAATGGCACGAGCGAGGCATCAACTACACACTTAATCAGCTAAGAACAGCAGGCATCAATTTCGCTGACAGCCCGGGATCAGAGTCGAGCAATTAATGGCCAACTGAAGATGCGGACGCAATTTATCCCTGGGCGCAAATCAGCAAACCTTTTCCTTTCTGTCTTCTTTACGCTGCAAAAGACAACTTGATGGATACACGTGGCCAGCAAAAAAAAAAAAATGAAGCAATCAAATGGTCGTAATGTCATCAACACCAGCCATAAGTGGACACCCATCCAGGGTGGAGACTGTGACAGGAAATAGGGCAACGATGATGATGAGTTACTTTGGTCACGAAGCTATTTTTACGCTTGATTACGCGATAAATGAAAATCAAATGTTTGATTGCTTAATGCTTTGCCAGCGTAGGTCAGCGTGGGTCAGCAGCGCCCCAGCACCACCCAGCTAGCGCACAGCACCACTTCAAAAGTGCTGCAATTTTGCCAAAGTGCCAGCCCAATGGGATTGGCCTGGGTGGCTCTTGCGTTGCTGAACATTTCAATTATTTATATGCTTGTTTGTCTCCTCGACTCGGCTCATGGTCGGGTCATGTGTGCACGTGCGATACGAGCGTGTGGGCGGGTGGGGGCGTGTGATAACAGTTGACTGCACACAGTTATCATTTTTTAGCTCCCAGACACGCACTAAGCTGCAAATTGCTAAGCTGAAGGAAGCTCAGAGTTAGACTTTGACTGATTTGTTGATAGTTGAGTGCGTTTGCAACATGACAGCGCAGAGCAGAGCAGGAGACAGCCACTACGACACAGGACATTGCTTACGTTCCGACACCTCGGCACGTTGCTCTCTATATTGCTTAATTTATTAATCGCCAGCAAGTACAAAGCGTCGAACCACACAAATCGTAAACAGTTCTCAGACCCACTGCATAAGCCGCTTATGTTAATTAAAATTGGGGAAAAGTTTTTGTTTTGCATAGCCTCTGAGGCTTCTTGGCACAATCAATCAATTGCCGTAGTCCTTAGCTCACTTTGTTTACGTTTTATGTGTCGAGTGCCTCAAAAGTGTTAAGTAGAAACCCATTTACATTTTTGTTTTTGCCTGTTTTGTGGTCATATTTCTGTTGCTAGGCCAAAAAGGGCTGAAAGCTGCGTTGCGAAATGGTCGACTGCTTATTGATGAGCCAGGTCAGCTGTCTGAAAGTTCTTCTTAACGAGTTGTGTAATCAGTGACAAAAAGCTGAACAAGATAGATCTGCTCAGAGCATGATTAAAGCGAACAGTTATTAAGACAGATTTGTAGACTTTGCTTAAAGGTTGCCATAGAAAGGTTTTAGCTGCAGCTCGAATGGGAAAGGCATTTAGAAAGAATGTAGAGAATAATGCTATAAGGTCTAGTGTATAGAGCAGCACCATTGACTTGAGTATTTGCTTATGTCAAGGAACTTAGCTCTAGATAATAAAGATTGAGCATTCTTAGAGCTGAGTACTGATCTGATTGATACCTGCTGATATGACTGAATATTCCATTTCACAAACTCTCCAATCAGTTCTTGCTCTTGGCCATAAAAATGTTAACTCTAGCCAAGCAAATATTGCCCCAAAATTTCCTTTTAATTCCTTCAATCATGATATCAAATTCAATCACAATCAGCTTTAAGCAAATTATATTACACAAAATGGCAACAGTCCAGCGCAGAGTCAACTTGATCAAGCAAAAGGCCGAACAATTGTTAAACATTTCATTAACTCACACTTGCAGATACGTGCAATTGATTTGTGCAAGGACCAGCTGTTCATTGGCCATTTCCTGCTGGCTGCTTGCTTGGCCTCCATTTAGGGAGTGCTTACAAAATGTTGGCAACTGGCAAATGGCGATGGGCAGAAGCACTTTTGCTGGCCGGCAGGCGAACGCCAGCAAATTGTTATTTCAATTGTCAACAGCAATGTGGAAGGCTAAAGAGGGCATGCCACTGCCCTAGCAGCATTCAGTATGCAGTTAATTTTCTGCTTTGGCTGCAATAAATTTTAAATGCACATTTCAAATGAAGAAGCAACAACATCGACGACGACGACGACGAAATGAAACGAAACGGAAAACAATTTTGTGCAATTTCACTAAAAACGACACAGAACTCCCAGCGGTCCACATTGACACACATATGGGAAATCGGGGAGCTGCGTCTGGGCCACGCAAACTGCAGGGCAACATATGCAATCGAAATGTCCTTGTTCCAGCAACGAGACAGCGACGACAAATGAAATTGTTGACCAAAGTGCAGCGTTTAAGAAAATCGAATATATATATATACAAGCACATACACTCACACACACATACACCATACATATACGTGTAAGTATATCTGTACCTAAAAGTTTTCCATATGGCCAATGCATTTTCCTTGCACTTCAATGGAACTGCCATTGTCCAGATTCCCATTATTGTTGCTTATATACCCTGTTTAATCGTTCGGTAAAGGGTATATTAGATGCTTTATAAAGTCAATATAGTAAGGGATCTGGATCTAGCTGTCATTCTGAACATTATTATTACTAATTATATTATTATCATTATCATTGTCATTGTCATTGTTATTGTCATTGTCATTGTCATTGTCATTGTCATTGTCATTGTCATTGTCATTGTCATTGTCATTGTCATTGTCATTGTCATTGTCATTGTCATTGTCATTGTCATTGTCATTGTCATTGTCATTGTCATTGTCATTGTCATTGTCATTGTCATTGTCATTGTCATTGTCATTGTCATTGTCATTGTCATTGTCATTGTCATTGTCATTGTCATTGTCATTGTCATTGTCATTGTCATTGTCATTGTCATTGTCACTGTCATTGTCATTGTCATTGTCATTGTCATTGTCATTGTCATTGTCATTGTCATTGTCATTGTCATTGTCATTGTCATTGTCATTGTCATTGTCATTGTCATTGTCTCTTATTTTTCACAGGGTATACCAAAGTCGTTCAGCTTCTAGAATCGTCCATGTTATTTCTTTTATGACAGTTTTAAGGCATTTTTATTTGTGTAAATATGGTTTAAATTTTATTTGCTGGCTCTTAGAAGATTGCCAGCAGCTTTTGTTATGCCAACAAATGCAAATTGCAATTGTTATGCAAGTCGCATGTTGCATGCTGAGCTCAATGCTGGTAATATTTGAGCAGAGTAGTTGCCGCAATGTTGTTGCCTCGAGCATTGCTGAATAGATGAATGCAGTCCAAATATGTTCGCATATTATTTATATGTGGTCAGCATAGTTTTATTGTCAAGCATTCTGAAAAGGTGTTGATGCACATGCAAATGCAATTTTAACTTATTTTTCTAGCCTCTTCAAAGTGGATACACAAACAAACAAAACTTGAATTGTTTTGGCATTTGATATATTTGTATTTGCTAAGACGCCAGAGAAAGAGATAGAAGACGATGGCTCGGTTCAGCAGCTCTTATCGACAGGAAACATAACACAATTAATTTTCATGGTTTCGGTAGCGTGTCTCTAGCAAATATGCATTTGATAAGCTTCAAATGGCCATTTCATTGATGTCGTCATTGTTGTTGTTGCTGCTCTTCTCATACATATTGAAAGCATTTGCATGTTAAACGCAGCTAATTGCGAATAAACTCATTAGAGGGCTGCGACAAGGGCTCCAATTGCCAGCCAGTAACAAAAGCCCGCACAAATTGGGCAACATTTGGTGGCATCTTTTGCCAAATTGAATGCGGCCAACAATCAACCCCACCGGCAGCAAGGCAGCACCACTTTCACCACACACTTTTTGGCGCACATTTTGGCTTGTTATCATTTTCATGGTTGAGGCGACACATGCAAATGCCGAAAGAGTTAGGAATAAAAAAAGGGCGTCGCTGTCGTGTGTGTGGGACTGGGTTTGTGGGTGGGACTCATTTGTGTGCCCGGCTCTGTTTGTCAGGCAGCCAAACATTTGTTTTAATTATTATAAAAGCAAATTGCATAATTAAAAATGTGAAATTCATTTTAATTTTTAATTACAATTAATTTTATAAGCTCACCAAATCGGAAGCCTGCGCCAACAGTTTTTGCACAGATTTACGTTTGTGAGCTGTGTTTACTGTAACAGGGTAATATGGTAATATGGTGTAACTGGATAAATATATTTATTTCTTACTTTATAAAATAAAAGAAACGTTTATTATTTGAAGTTATGAAATATATATAGTTTGGCTCA